TGACTGTTATTCAGGAACAACGGTGCAGTGTAGACGGACCCTAGCAGCAGTCAGTACCAGGTTGTGATTGGGTTCTCCTCTCCCACATGCCCCCTTTTTTGTCTCTTCTCTAAAACAAACAGTCCCAGAGTTTTCAGTCTGGCTCACTAGGGCAGCCTGCCCCATTGCCACAGCGGGTCTCAGGAATCCTATTTCCCCCTGCTCTGCCCTTCCCAGAGACGCCTGTCTGCTGCCACATTGCCTGGAGAGACCGAGGGACCCACACCGAGCACATGCCCCTCGCAGGCCAATTTCCATCCCACTTTCAGGCATCTGAACGTCGTGTTTGTTTTGGCCACGGCAGTGAATCAGCAGCTGTTTCCATTGATCTGCAGGCAATGCCCCCTGGGGCTTGTCCCTCAGGGGCGTCCTACGTGGGTTTGTCACCAGGCACAAGTCTTTGGTTTTCTGACTCTGAGCCACCAGGCAAACAGGGAGCTGCATCAGGCAGGGACTCTCCTGCCTGGGTTTCACTGTGGTACAGAGCAAGGGCGGGTAACGAGTGTCTGTGCTGACGTTTCTTTCTGCTGCCTTACAAGGTTTCCCACAGCAGAAGCTGTGGGGATAGTTGGTCCAGCGAGCACCATCCGACATGGGACGGACCCTGCAGGGCCAGTTGTACAAAGGGAATTTCGCTGACTAACAAAAGTGACATTTTCAGAGTGTGCAGAGACTGACGTGCTTCCCCCATGAGCAGAGCCTTCAGTGGTGCGTTCTCTCCCTCCAGGCGTGTGTCCTGCGAGTGTCATCTTCAACCCTGGGTGCACAGAAGAAGTCGGGGGCTTGTGTGGTGCATGCGGGAGACACCGTTCTGCCTGAGAGTCGGACACTTTCTCCCCTGCTCCATGGCACATTCCAACACAACCCACTTCACCAACCCCTCCACCTTCATCCTGCTGGGCATCCCTGGTCTAGAGGAGGCCCATGTCTGGATCTCCATCCCCTTCTGCACCATGTATGTCATAGTAATCTTGGGGAACTTCATCATCCTGATCATTGTGAAGAGGGAGTCGAGCCTCCATGAGCCCATGTACTATTTTCTCTGCATGCTGGGCATCTCCGACCTCATCCTAACTACGTCTGCCCTGCCCAAAATGCTGAGCATCTTCTGGTTCAATGCCAGGGAGATCGATTTCAATGCCTGCCTCACCCAGATGTTCCTCATTAATTCCTTCTTTTTGGTAGGATCTGGGATTTTTGTGGCCATGGCGTTGGATCGCTACGTGGCCATCTGCCCTGACATCCCCGGTGGTGGCCAAGATCGGCCTGGCTGTGCTGCTGCGCAGTGGCCTGCTCGAGTTACCCCTCCCCTTACTGGCCAGGCAGTGGCCATATTGCAGAACCAACATCATCCCCCAGCCGTACTGTCTGCACATCACCGTGGTGAGCCTGGCCTGCGCCGACATTCGTGTCAGTAGCTACTACGCCCTCGCTGTGACATTGTGTGGGATAGGTCTGGATGCGTTATTTATCGCCATATCCTATATCCATGTCCTCAGGGCCATCTTCAAACTCCCCACAAAGGATGCCCGGCTCAAGACATTTGGAACCTGCAGCTCCCACCTGTGCGCCATCCTCGCCTTTTACATCCCTAATCTGTTCATCATCCTCATAGCCCGGCTTGGCCAGATTTTGCCCCTGCACTTCCACATTCTTTTTGCCAACTTGTGTTTTTTGATGTCACCTACGCTCAACCCCATCATCTACGGGGTGAGGACCAAACGGATCCGGGCCAGGCTGCTCTCCCTCTTTACTCAAAAAGGGATCTAAGGTTTTTCCCAGTGCTCTAGCTCAGAGACTCAGCTCAGTGAAGGGCTGGTTGGAGACACATGGCTGGGGCCTCCTCCCGGAGTCACTGACTGGACAGAGAAAGTGCCAGTAACCTCCTTCCTGGCCTCCCTGGGCTGTGTCAGCAGAAGAAAGTGAAGACTCAGTCTGTGTACAACTCATCTACCCCCAGTAGCCTGGGGATAGGCAAAACCTTTGTCCCTAGGGCCAGCCCCTGGAGTAAGAATGAGGGCTGAAGTGTCAGCCACAGGCCTGGTGTGAGGCTGGTAAGATAGGGAACAGTGCTCAAGACTTTGTTGATGCTGGGAGGAAGAGGCAGGCCCTGCTCACAGCACGTGGCTAAGCAGGGCTGGTGTTGCGGAAACGCTCATACCCCACAGGCACTAGGCAGAGGCCGGGAGCACCCTGCAGAGGGCTGGTACCAGAGCAGCATGTTAGGAGACAGCTCGATAGCAACACACGCCCCACGGGTAACAGGGACAGAGCAGCCCAGGGCCAGGACAGGGTCTGACGTGGCAATGTGAGGGAGAGCGATGATTTGATTGAATCCCCATGCAGGTAGGTAAGTTCAGAGGGTGGCACCCTGACACCGCAGGAGTGAGGTGTGTCTTGTGTGTACCTGTGTAGGACAATGTTCTATAAGGGGAATGCACTTGTCTGCCCACGGGGCGAATGGAGAATCCCGTCCTTGAGAGAGCCTCTCCATGGCAACCGGCACACGTGTGTCTGACAGAGGAGCTGGATATGAGCACCTGGCTGCATTTGCAATAAAACTTTAGGTTCCTTCGCCCTTTAGCTGATTGTGTGTTCATTGCACATCTCTCAGACTCTGCTGCTCCAGCTGCTTGCACAGAGCCCGTGTAACACGCAGGGGAGCCCCTGTGCTCAGCCAAATGGGTAACACCACAGTGCCAGTGTAACACACAGGGGAGACCCCACACATAGATGAATGAGTATCAGCACAGAGAAGAGGTATCTCATGGAAGAGCCACTGCACACATCTAAACGGGTAAGACCATAGAGCCGGTGTAACTAAGGGTATGTCTACATTACAACGTGAATTAGAACTAACTTAGTTCGAATTAGTTAATTCAAACTAAGCTAATTCGAACTAATGGATCCAGACTAATAAACTAGTTCGAATTAGCGTTTTGCTAATTCGAACTAGCATGTCCACATTAAGTGGACCCTGAACCGGGCTTAAGGATGGCCGGAAGCAGTGCTGGCAGGGCATCAGAGGAGGACTTAGAGCGTGGAGATGCTGTCTCAGGCTAGCCGAGGGCTGCGCTTAAAGGGTTCCGACCTCCACCCCGGACACACAGTTCTCAGGGGTGCCCCGCTTGCAAAGCAGTCCTGGCTTGGAGTGCCCGGAGGGCCCACACTGGGCACATCACAGCACTCGGCCATCAGCCCGGCTGCACTTGCTGCAGGCTGCCATCTGGGGAGAGGGGGCTATTGGGGTTCTGCAGGAGAGCTTCCACCCCCAGAAGCCCGCAGAGCCAGCCCAGTCCTCCCCATCGGGGCTCGTGCCCCATTCCTCCCTCACCTCCTTCCACTTACCCTTCCCTAGCCCCT